GGGGGGGGGGGGGGGGGGGGGGCAGAGCACCCCCGCCCTCGTGACTTAGAGTGGGCAGGGACCCAGAGGAAGCTCTGGATGGTCCGAGGTGAGTTTGAGGAATGGCTGGCGTTTACTGGCCACCATGGTCACTACAGATTCTGTACAAGCAAAAGACAAGGCACCAGACTGTAGGTGTTTCTCCTGGGCCCAAAATCCCTTCCTGGGTACACGGAGTCTGGCTCCAGGCTCAGCCGTAGTGATAGACAAAGTCATAGCTGCTGGGCTCCTTGGGCACTGGTGGTGGGGCTTCGGGAATCTGGATGTTCTCCAGGTCCAGGAGCCGTAGCTTCATTTCCATGCTCAGCAAGGTGTCCAGGTCACTCTTGGTCAGCTCACTGGACATGTCCTTCCCCAGAAGGGCACTGAGGCCATCGATCCAGATGCAGTACTGTGGGGGGCAAGTTGTAAAACGTCACATGGTGGCCCCTGGGCAGCAGGAGGTCCTGCCAAGGTCCCTTGGCTGAGAGGACTCATAATAGTCTCTTCTGGCACGACTTAGTGTGTCGGCAAAACCGATTCGGGATAATAGCAAAGACAAATCGGGAGGTGATCGTTCACTTTCTCAAGGACACCTTTTGGCTTTTATGAGGGGTTTACGCTTAAGCTTCCTGAGATAATCTGAAATATGATTTGTTTTTATTTTATTTTTTGAAATAGTATTGTTTTAGAAGTTTTTAAAATTTATTTATTTACTTTGAGAGAGAGAAAGAGTGTGGGAGGGGCAGAGAGAGAGAGAGAGAGAGAGAGAGAGAGAGAGAGAGAATCCCAAGCAGGCTCTGCACTGTCAGTGCTGAGCCTGATGTGGGGCTAAAACTCACGAACCGTGAGGTCATGACCTGAGCCCACACCAAGAGTCAGGCACTTAACCGACTGAGCCACTCTGGTGCCCTTGAAACATGATTTTTTTAAAAAAAGTTTTACTTATGTAAGTAATCTCTACACCCCATGTGGGGCTCAAACCCATGACCCCAAGATCAAGAGTCGTATGCTCCTCTGACTGAGCCAGCCAGGTGCCCCGAAATATGATTTCTACAAATGCAACGAATGGATACAGCAAAACGAGACCTGAGTACTGGGGCGTCAGCTACCTGAAACTACCCATGAATTTAGCAATGGCGGGGGCAATACATATTAGGTGAAAAAAACAGGATACAGAAGGAATCACTGTAGGATCTCAATTCTGTTTCAAAAAAAGTAAATTTAAAAAAAAAAAAAAAAAGTCCAGTCAACAAATGTTAAAATAAGGCTAGAGAAACTGAACTTGAGGATCTCAGCATAAGCAGGAATAATAGAGAATTCTCGGCCCGTCCCTCTCTAACTCCACTTGTCAGGTCTTTTTCCATGCCTTTGCTCACTTGTCTCCCCACCTGCTACTTCTTCCTTTCTTCCCAGCAGAACTCCACTGGCAGCTCAGGGCCTGCCTAAGCATCTCCTCTTCCAGAAGCCCCATCTCCAGTTCCCTCTGATGCCCCCGGAGCTCAGTAGACACGCAGGGCTCAACCCCAGTCACTCACTGCGCATGCAGTATCTTCTGGGGCCGTGGGCAGAGCCGCAAGCCCCGCGTCAGCAGGACCGGGTCCATCCCGCCTCAGAGCCCAGGCCAGACCCACTACTGCATGTGCCCAGCAGCCCTGACGAGGGAGAATCTGTCAGGTTTGCTTGGGAAGGTGGCCATGCAGAGATTGAAAACGGGGAGAATTTTCCTAGTCCAGACAGGTTAAGTTAGCCCCTGGTGACCCTGTCTTTCTAATGACAACCCACGACTGTCGCTAAAGAGCAACCTGGGGAGCCCAGCACAGATGGATGGACCCCAGCCTGGCAGATCTCGGTGCCAAAAAGCCTTCATGACATGCTGGGGTCCCCTGCCTTTAGGGGGATGTCCCTGTTCTGCCCACTCCTCTCCTGCAACTGAAGAGACAGAGAGGGCTCGGCTGTCCAAAGCGGCTCCACACTGCTTACCTCATACTTGTTAGGCGCGATGAAGTTTAAGGTCTCATCAGGGTCATACAGGATGGAGAAGGCCAACTCCAACACCTCCTGAAGGAGAAAGGGTTTCAGTTACGTGGAGCAATGGGATGGCCTGGGCTTAGCACGCCAAGATCGTGGCCAAAGTCCTAGTCACTTGGCCCCGTCACTGAACGTGCTGATCCAGATGTGGTATCGTCAGGCCCCAGGGCACGTGCCCAAGTGTGGCTGAAGACTCCCCGCCTGAGTCACACCTAAGATGTGGATGCTTCTAACAATGGAGAAAAGTCATTTCCCAACACGCAGAACCCCTGAATGTCAGAGTCCATGACTGGAGATCACCTTCAGTTACACGTGTTGGTGATCAAACTGAAAGTCTTTACAGTTTTTTTTAATCTTGATTTTTTTAGGTTTTTTTTTCAATGTTTTTTATTTTTAAGAGGGAGAGAGAGAGAGAGAGACTGTGAGCAGGGGAGGGGCAGAGAGA